ATTTGATCAATTAATATTGCATTAAGTCTCGGTACTCAGTTTTTGATGCTGAATCTGAAAAAATTAGTTTCAGAAGCTGGACAAATAAATAAAGTAGAAAATTTTGCACATTTCGAAAAAGAAGTGTTTTTCTCAAAAAACGACATCTCTCGAGTATTTCGTATTTTTCGACCGGAAGGAAGCATTTGCTATGGCTAAAAGATAGATTTTCGTGATCAACAGCTCACGGTCTGTCAAATGGTGTAAAAAAAGGCGAAAAAAACTTTTTACTCGAATTTCACATTGCCGGCACCTTACTGAGTTTATGCAAAAAACGAAATATACAGAACAATTGATGAATATAACTCTGGTTTACTCTTTTTATACTGCTAACCACTCTTTTTATACTGCTAACCTATTATGTGCAACTGTACAACATGCTGTAATGACCTTAGGGCCGATTGCATGTCTTATTAGTTATTTCTCTATCAATAAAGATTAAACCAACTCTGGTTACCGATCGATTTCATAATACAGTACATACAGCAAAATTGTGCAAAACATTATTCAATCCCGATTCTGAACAAAATAGGATTAATTTCATCGGAATTAATACAAGTATAGCTGAACAAACATTTTCGTACTTGACAAATTTCAAAGCTTCATTACGAAGTTTCTCTTATCCTACAGCCGCATTATTCACAATTTTACTATTTCATTTGAAAAATGTTTTTGTGACAAATTAAATATAGACCTTGCACAGCAAAGTGAAGGACGCATACAACTTGGTATCAGCAGAAAATTGATATCAGCAGATCACAAAGCAACGATATTGCACCTTAGTATTATTCATATACAACCGTAATGAAACTAAGTTTAGTGTTAAGAACGAAAAACCGACTATAGCTAGAGTGTGGTAATTAGTCAAAAAGAATTTGCGTCGTTGGCGTAAATAAACTAGTTAATTATCTTTGAACAAGTAAGAGAAACTACTATTGACAAAAACTATCTTGCTAAAAAATCGAGATTCTTGGGCTACTTCAATTGCAGCTGGAATCTACATATATCATATCATATCTTGAGTGCAGTACTCTACATTCGTTAAAAACTGAAGGAAGGATGCCCTTTAAATTAAGGCTATTTTCCGTAGGTAAATTGTGTGAAAATCAGCAAAATTTCTAATGTAACTTTTTGCTTTCGCAGAAAAGAAAAAAGCTATAATGCGGTAAAATTGGTTATTTGATTTGAAAACGGATATATAAAGACATATATACATATCTGTAACTGATATTCATAAAGCGGCAGAATACAGTTCAGCTTTAAATTGTGTTATCTTTTGTAACTGTTAATCAAAAATGAAAATTATTTCATTCCGTACGTAGACCTATCAGAAATTAGTCCTACGCGTAGTTGTAGAAGTAGACTACAGCCTGCGCGTAGATATAGAACTAGAGTACGGTCTACGCATAGATATAGAAGCAGAGTATAGTCTGTGCGTAGATATAGATCAATATCATTCCTATTTTTCCGAATTGATACTGCCTAGCTCTAGAGTTATCTGGTCGACAATACGATTGTCTGATGGAAACAATCATATTGAAAAAACAAATCTACTTTTTTAGTTTATATTGACGGTCCAATATTTCTACAAATTCAGGTGATCTTTTTCTGAAAAATAGCTGAGCATAATGTGTAACTTGTCCACTCGGAGTTAGAGTAAAAAGAGCAGATAAGTACTCTCGACTTAATGCAATATTAATTGATCAAATTGACGGATTATGTATTAAATTCACAATGAGAGAGAAAAACATAGAAAGCTAAATTCACGCTAAAATAGAAAATTTATTCTTTTTCATGGTGTTCATTAAAACGCAAACGTTCATATATCTTTTAGATTATTTTATTTGAAAACGGATATATAAATATATATCTATGTGTAACTTATATTTATAAACAGAAAGAATACAGCTCAGCTTTAGATTGCGTTAGATTGTGTAACAAACAATAAAAAAATGAAAATTTGTCCTATTCTGTACATAAAAATGTATCCGATTTCTTTCGTTCAGCAAAGTCAGAGAAAGAGAAAGAAAAGAGAATAATATTGATCTACATCCACGTGTAGATTTATTTTTGACGGCTTCCCTAATAAATCGATTTACACTAATCTAAAAGAAATTAATTCAAAACAATTTTCAATTTAAAATTAATCTGAATTAATTTTTTCAGGCTTATCGTAGTTAATGTCCTACCAAATTAATTTTAAACGAATTTGAGACTAAGTTTGTTGAAACTGCTTGACGAAGATTTCAATATTTTTTTTCAAAACGCTTAAGAAAAAGCCTAAAGTCCCTGTAGTATATCTGATATAGTTCGAGGCTAAGTTTTCCGAAACAACTTTTTGAGAGGAATCCAATGGCAGTCTCAGAATTCTTGAAAATTTTTCTAAACTGAAATAAGTAACTTAGCTATTTTGGTTTCGAAAAACTTGAAGTAAGTTTGCATTAATTTTTTTGTAATTATTTACATTAAGTTTGAGTACAGAGATTCGTTCAGATTAATTATAAATTATAAATTAATTTTAGCAAATATTTTCTAAATCAAACTAGATGAATTAGTTATTACAAATTGATTTAAATTAATTTACGAACAGCACGTAATAGAAATTGATTTCATTTTTGAAATACTTCAAAAAAATTTGAAGCTACAAATTAATTTAAACTAATTTTCAATACTAAATTGATCTATATTATTTTTCGTTAAATCGATTGAAACGAGTTTTTGATTGAAAATTGATTTAAAGGAATTTCGATCAGCAAATTCATTTAAATTAGTTTAAAGAAAAATAATATACATTAATTTGGTACAAGAAATCAGTTTAAATTAATTTATAGACTCAGATTTCTTTGAAGTGTTTTAAACAAAATAAATTTCTATTAATTTCTATTTGTAAATTAGTTCAAATAAATTTTTATTAACAAATTTTTATTTTAATCTTGATCAACAATTCGACATCGTAAAAAGCTTAGCACAATCATCTTCTGCGCAATAAGCTTGACTAGAGTTTACGCAATAACCTTGGCTATGCTCTGCGCAATAACCTTGAATAAATTCTTGCACCATAACCTTGAATATATTATTGCGCAATTACTTAGACTTTATGCTTGCGCAATAACCTTAACTATGATCTTCTCCATTATGACACGACTGTAGTGCGTGGCATAACACGTTCCCCTTCCAAAAAATTGATCGTCGAGCAATTTGGACAAAAAAGAAAACTACAAAAAAGGAAATGAAAAAAACGGATTGTTCCTGACATCATTCGGTGCTATTGATGTTAATTTCGATGCTGCTACCGTCATGCGATTAACATCTCTTCTTTTTTTGTAAACCTTTTGCCGCTCACGGAACCATAAATTGCCATAACCAATCCGTATTACCAAATATATAATTAGTCATGTCATGTTCCAATAAACGTATGATGAATATACGGCCACCATCATTTAATACTTGATAAATATCCTCAATACTTGTTGTGAATAATGCTTTTCCACCACTTGTACCATTATAGAAGCATAGGGGTGACAAACCACCAGTACAGCGTGTGAATTGTAATAATGATGACGACAATGATACTGGTTGTGATTTCCTTTTCACTTGAAATTGTTTCATTGTCTCATATAATTTTGACAATAGGACAGTATGACTTTTATCCATCGTCCCAATAACACCACTTGGTAATTGCTCTTGTTTGTTATCATTGATTTCTTCTCCTTCTCCTGATGCTGTCGATAATTGTTTGCCACTACTTAATATATCACATTCATTTATTGGTGTTTTTTGAAACCTTTCTCGTTGTTCTTTTATCTCGAAATCAGCCCATGTTTCACCTTGTTCTGGCCATTCTAATTCTTCATACTCCAGTAATATCGGCGTAATTGTCGGTGGTATTGACGTATGTTGATCATAATATACTTGATAGTGTTGTTGATGAAATAAATATGAGTGAATGCGGTACCTTCGGTCGAATCACTTAGATGTTGTTTTTCGACTAATGAATATTTTTCTCTAATTCTTCCGTAAATGTCTCCCATGAATGTATTTTAGCCATATTCTCAAAATACCATGTTGATGCTTCTCCGCGTAAAAAATATTAGAACCCAATCTAATTTTTCATGATCTGGACAGTTAACCAACTTGAATTCAACTTTTACCGTCTTCACCCAATCGGTAACATTTTCCTCTTTACTACCAGACAATTTTGGTGCTAGTGTTTTCAACGTTTTCCGGAGTAAGTTGGCTATAATTTGGTCAATCATTGTAACATCCATGTTGTTTTCTGAACGAGAATGAGGTAAACAATTTTGCTTTTTCTATTGTCTTGTATGTTTCAGGTCTATAAAAGCATTTCTGTCTATACATGTAAAAAAAAAGAAAGAAAAATGTGCCGTATTACAACAGCTTTTTGATTAAGAGTATCAGGTATTGTCTTTCGAATTGTCTTTCGACATTGTTTTTGATATTCTCTTTGAGAGAAGCAAAAAGCAAGTAATTTGATATTTTTTTAAGGGGCTCAAATTCAACCTAGTGTTGGCTACGCGTCATCATTTATAAGTCAAATAAACATCTGGCATTGTTATTACGCAACTGAGCTTGAACTGTGAATGTCTGCATAATACATAAAGCAGAAACTTCATTGATGTTCTGCGATGTCGGAGATTAAATATATTAGTTTAGTTTAGTTCAGTTTAAACTTTATTATTCAAATAAATAAATAATTCTAATAATATTAAATATATTCTAATAAGACCTTTAGCATTTGGTGTGCTGATCTCTAGTCTATGACACATTTTGGATATGCAGTGCGTTGCAGTGACCAAAGTTTGATTTTTGAAGTTTATGATGCTTATTCTGTGCAAATCATTATGATCACCCATCTTTAAACGTATAGTACAATTGAAAATATTTCATTTCAGAAAATCATCTCATCTAAACGATATGCTCATTATGTGTTCAGGCGAGGATGAGAAGTTGATTTCTTACCTTTTAAGTTTTCGACTGATTCGACATCCTAAGATTCTTTTCTGAAAGATGTATTAGTCATGAGAAAATGTATTTGAAAGCAGAAACTTAAAAAGATAATTGATTATTGATCTCTCTCGAATTCCTATTATACAGTAACACCGAAAGTTTCGAAAAACGTTTGTCTGTAGACTAATTGCAAAAGATACGAGAGTTTCTATCATTTTATTGATTAACTTACAAATCAACGTGGACGTTTCGACTTATCGCAAGTCATTTTCAACACAAAATGAGCAAAAGAAAATTAGAAGAGAG